TTCGGCATCTTGTTTGTGCTTACTTCCTTGCGGATGACAGCTGCGTATGAATTAATATTTTGTCTGGTGCTTTCACTTCCAGAGACAGTTGTAAGCACTGTGTAACTGCTTCGAGGGTGCTTGACCATTGTAACACAACGTGGTGCGATCATCCCCCTTGCGCGGAGTGAGGGTTCTCCACCCCGCACAACATGATCAACTCGACCACCATTATGGTTACCGCCAAAAAAAAAAACAGAGGCAAAAGAAAAACGGTAACCTGGTTGCCGAGGCCACGAAGTGAATTGGCTTGTTTTACAACGTCGTTGCCACGCGACGAAAACCCAATCTCGATGGCAAACACCGGGGGGGGGGGCGGGGCGGCTTGTTTTACAACGTCGTTGCCAAGCGACGAAAACCCAACCTCGATGGTTAACACCGAGGGGGAACACCGGGGGGGGGGGATTGCATACGGATGACACCTGCGAATGAGTTGTTGTGTATTCTGGTGCTTCGGGAGGGGGGCGGGGGGCGTATCGTGGCAAAACCGTACATAGGAGTGCGGATACCAACAAGGTAAAGGTTCTGGTGGCATGGCAAGCCGTGGGGCCATGGAGCCACAAAAGCATGAACAAGCACCCACCCCAACGATGAACTTGTCGAGATCTGGAGGCAGCTTCCCGTTGGTGGACAGGAAATACGCCTCAACTCCTATTGCACACCCACAGGCAACCAAGAACAGCAAGCACACCGCGAAGCCCGCGATGAAGACCCTCTCCATCACCAGTTGCGTCTCAGGTGGGATGAGCTTTGTGGAATAGTATTTCCAGTGGTCGCGGACGGGATGGATAGGTGGAACGAAGCGACCAGGCACGATTGGAGGGGAGGGAGCACAGGGTACAGAGCCACACAACGGTAGCCGGACGGGCGACAAGAACATCAGACAGGCAGACAGACAAAGAGACAGGCAGACAAACAGAGCGACAGACACGCAAAGAGTCGGGCAAGACGACAGAGGAAATTGGCGAACAAGCTATTGCCAAAGTGGGCTGCTGTGTCTAACTCAATAACCGTGCACGACATATACGGCGATATTGAGAGACGCCAGACGTACAGGCGGACAGGCCATCAAGGGTCAAGATTTTTCCATGTCAATCAACTTGGTTTTAAAACGCAAGACTCTTGAAGCATGTCAAAACATTGACAGAAAATAGCCATTCCAACAACAACCAACGCAAGTCTTCGACAGCAGGACATACGCTAGCTACGACATTCTCGTCGGGTACCGGTGTCGACGATCAGCACTGCTGAGAGTAGTGATGGTTTGTTCTGACATTTCTTGTAGTTCCCTCCGAAAACGACGCTCTCAGATGACTCCAGATCAACAACAAACGCGCACGCACAGCATACAATACAACTTTCCAACGCACTCACATCGAAAATGGAGGTAATTTGCTGGCCCACGCTTTTGTTTTCCTTGTCCTCCTTCGCTTTCGCCGCCCGAACCTGACCGATGCTCTGCACGCCCATTTTTCTCAAAGTCTCTTCGATCTTCGCCTCCCTCGCGTCGTCGCTTCCGATCGCACCGTCTTGCAGAATCTCACCTGCAAAAAGCAAAACACCGACAATAAAAACAAAGACAAGGACGGAAAAAATCAAAACAACAATCAAGAGCACTAGCACCCGTGGCAGGGGCAGCAGCGTCAACAACAGTCAGCAGGAGCAGCAACGCAACGACGTGTGCAAAAGGACCAAAGACGCAATTCCTGCTCGGCCAACGCACACTCGACTGATGAGTCCGTACAGCAGTGTGCATGCTCTTTGGATGGAGAACTCCATCCAGGTGAGGTGCATCGAGATCGACCCACGCCAACAACGCGGCGCGCAGGTGATGGGAGGTGATGGGCCATGAGTCATGGGTGACGCTTGCGCTGGATGGCCGACAAAAGGCGACAGAGGATCGAAACCTCAGGTTGTCACCCGCGAGGAAGGAGCACATAAAGGGGTTAGGTTTGATATCTCCATCTCACGTCGCGTACAGCAACACCGGAAACCACTAATCTCCGACCCAGATCGGGAAACACACACAACACGCGGACCTCGTTTCGCCGTCTTGACGTCAGCGAACCCTCCACCGCTCGCCATCATTGGTGCGCCCGCGTCTTCGTAGTCATCGTCCTCCGAAGAAGATGTAGGCACCGCCCTCGTGCTAATCGTCGCCGCACTTCCCACATCCTGTGTTCAACACAATTAAAACACCAGGGTGCCTGTTGAGTGTTATGGGCGTGCGTCGTACGATGCGTTGCGTCCAAAACGATGTGACGCCCAAGTGCAGCAGTATTCCGTGGCGGGTAAACCCGGCAATTATCGTGAGCTTGCCGCAGACAGCAGTGCAATTTTCGAATTCAGTATTTAATGCACCAAGCGCATAGAAACGTCTGCCTACTAGTCAACCCCGTACGAAGAGACACGCGCGGTAGGTTAGCACGGTGGTGTCATGATGTATAGCTTAAGTACATGGGGATGCTTACCTCGACAGCTGCCGCCTTCTTTTTCTTTCGCTTGGACCCACCCGACCCGCCTTTCTTCGCCATGCTCAGTGCAGACACGGCTCGCCTGTGGGTCGCGGCCTTTCTCATTGCCGTTCCCATGTCAACCAGTCAGTCGTCGTTCATCACCGTATGCGGCAAGAGGATAAACACGCAGCAGTGAAAAGTTAGCAGTTGGCATAGTACTCAATGACACAGTTGTGCTGGTTTAGCGTACTGCTGTAATCGTGGTGGTGTTTGCGTGTTGTGGCGGTAAGTCTCAAACCACGATCCTGTCCACGCTATGGGAGCCTACAATTCTCGATCACACTACATGTCGATCGCGGTCGAATAGCACCCCATCCGTCTACAGTGAATCGCCCTCGAATCCACGTTCGGACACGTACACATAAGGTGTTCTCGGGAGACACAACGCTAGTGCGTGACCAAGGCCGCACGCTAGGCAGGGAGCCTAATGGGTGGGTCCATTGCAAAGGTGACACGATGGAACCGAAGTAGCAGCACGGCCCCCTGTAAGACTGGAGGAGAGATAAGCGGTGAAGAGCAAAGACACATGCCATCACAGGGCTAAGAAATCACGTAAAAATAACTGCCGTAAAATGTTTCGTGTCACTTGTACAAGTACATAACCCATACGTGAAACATGCGGCTGCTGTACGGCACGATGATAAATTTATGGGTGTAAAACCACTCATGACGCCGAATACTACGCCCCCTGGAGGAACCGCATCTGATGCAAGCACAAAACAAATTTACTCGAAAACCACTCGTCCCTTGACCTCAATGGTGTCAATAGGTGTCGACCTCTTAGCCGCGGTGGAGCAAGAGAGCTACATAAATACATCACAACTAAAGGAGGTGGCAGAGGCACGGGGAATGAGTGTAGGCCGCAGCGGCCCGGTAGCTGTACACACCCTCCCGCGTGTACATGACGAGATTGGAGCTGTCTCTGTTGGTTGTGGTATGTTACAACCCTAACCCCGTCTCAGCGACTCGATCAACCACGGTTGACATGTTGACACGTTGACATGCCGGTCGGTGTTACTCTCGGGTGAATTCCTTTTGAATCCCTTTGCGTTGACGCGTGTGTCCGCAGGCTGGCTGTACAATTGCGAGACCGGGCTGTGTTCATGTTCCCAACTTGATTTGACCCTTCAACCAAGACACCTATTTAGCGGCGATATGAAAACCCGAGTCGATGCCAGGGCGCCTCCGCAGCAGGTCGAGGCTATCAGCTACAACATGAACATACAGAACAAAGATGATGCTGAATTTCTTGGAAAGTGTCGTGTGGCATCATGGTACGCTCTGACACCACAGCTACTGACGGCACACCACGCTTCATGTGTGTGTTGACGGGCTCACATCATTAGGGGACGCTCTCAGCGACATCCTTTGCTGCAGGACAGCGGGATGGACGAACGCCGTGCATTGCTGAAGCACCGACACCGACAAGCACGCCAAGAGCATCATTTTCCTTCCAACTCTTCCTGGCCTTCCTCCAAAAGTCCTCCTGCCCTTTCCTCCCATGATAGGTGTGAGCACAGCAACAACCCCCTGTGTCTCGGTTTTTGTTTGGCACACAAGGAGGGTTCGTCATTTGGAACATGTTTTCCTCTCTCTGCTGGGAGGGGCCAACCGTCACCATCCCAGGGTCCCCCGATCTACGACAACTCTACGATGAAGGTTATACCGCATATTGGTGTTGCATGTCCATGGGATGCGCCACTGCTTCATTGCTCTGGGCCATTGCTACCAATCGACACTTTCCAAGAAATTCATCGCACCTGTGATGCCGATCGTTCCGGGAGCCAGCTTGGCAAAGAGAAGGATTCCTGTGAGTGTGTGGCGGGGATCTTGTCTAACGGGCTCTTTTGGGAGAAAAGAAGTCAGAGTACTTGTATAGGTATCCGTGCCCCATCATCATCGATGGTACAGCAGTAATCTAGTAGGCCTCGTACCGCCGGTGTCTCGTGCTGTCACAGTCTCACCTCTCCGTTGGTTGGTCGATGGCCAACTACAGGTATACGGTACACGGTATGCTACTAGAGCATCGCACGCGTATTCGTGGAGGTGGGAAACACGCAGCATATTTACCTATTTTCCTTGTCACCACCTCACCTCCGATTTCGTGCCATCGCTGTACAGCATTTGCTGCTGTGCGGCTCTTGTTTCTCTCTTCGTCGCAAGCCAATGCACTTGAAAGTACCAGTAGACGAAAGATGGAGTGTTTCTGCAGATGCAAGCGGGGATGCTCAGGAGGATGCAGTGGGCAGAATACAGCACGAAGCTATGAATTTTTTCACATGTGTTTTTTTTATCATATTTTCCATGCGTTCAAGTCACTTCGGGTGGGAGCTCTCGGGTGGCAACGTACTTTTGTGCCCAACATGCCAACGCGTTTTGCCCAACATAGGTTGTTCAGGAGAAGACGGGTGCAGGAAAGCAGGTGCAGCGATCATCATCATCAGCAGTGACAACATCAGCATCAGCATCAGCATCGTCCTTAACGCCATCGTCGTTGTTACCGTCATCATCGTCGGCATCGCGTCAAGCCCCGAAGAGTAAGCCGGTGGGCAGTTGGCGATGTAGACGATCGCTTATGACCCAGCTGGGTTTTTTGAAGAAGGGATCTACCAACGCCCCCGCGCCCCTCCAAACTAGTCTGCTCGGGTTGATCAGTAGTAATTGGGGTAGAAAAAGGATGGGTACTCTCAATACCCTAGCGGTCTCAATATTGCCACGCAACTGTACTGCAGGACCAACACTCTCCGCAATTTGGCAGCCGGGAGATTTACCAGATTGCCACCAATAGAGTCACAGCAAGGAACTATTTCCCGCGCGGCACAATTTATGTTCTTGCTGGAGTCCCGCGGAGGTATAGACTGCACGCTACCAGACACACACCCAGGCTGTGGTGGAGAGGTATACCCCCTCCATGTGTCGAGGAAGAATGAGACCGGTAGATTAGTCTACTGGCGGGTGCGTTGCCGCTACCGTTGCCCATATGCTTCGCACCGTATCAGAGTATGGCAACACAACGAGAGTACTGTTGTGTTCTGCAAGTATATGCTACTAAAGAGCATAGCACAGCATGTATTTGTGGCGTTGCGCTAGATACAATTTGATGTAGTTTTCTGGGCTGCAACTTTGTCAGAGTCTCCTTCCACACAACGATGTGTGGAAGACTCCGACTCGGAGCATTGAGGTTCGTGAGTCTTTCCCACTTTTCTTTGGTTTCAAAGGGTGTAGTCGTTGCTTCACAAAGCGAATGTATCTCTTCTTGCCCGGCAGTTACTTTCTTCTGTTCGTGCCCCTGTCTCCTCTTCTGAGAACCCAACCAGCTTTGATAATGCCAAGTCGCTGGTTGTTCGGAACGTTTCCGGGTTGTGTTGCCGTCGTTCGGAGGAACGCGACGTGGCGGCGCGGTACGCATGCGTGCATGTACATGTGCTCAGGCTCCCGTGTGAATTTGATGCTCTGTTTTTTGTCTGGCGCAACCGCCACCGCCAACAGAAAACACTTCTTCATTGTCATCCGCGACACCACCGTCATCTACAGCTTCAGATGGCGGTCGACAGTGGACAGAAGACGTGAAGGGCATGAAAGGGGGTAAGTCGAGCGTTGGGATCAGATGGCATAACTTCCGATGATACTCAGGCTCAGTATGAAGTTTGTATTGCAGTGTTGGACTCCATGTGACATTTGGTAGCACGAATTACACGAGCGTTATGCAGTGTCCGAGCTGCTGTCGTACACGGTGTCTTGGCACAGTTACAGTAGTGCACTCCAGACGTACCATTATCTAGCAACGCCCCACAATTTCGCTTCGCTACTCGCCCGCGTTTTAGCATGTAGCATGATAAAAGCGCAATTTCTTCACCTCCAAGGCTTTCCTCGGAATCGTCAAAACGTTTCTCAGCCCTCCCCCCTCTATTTCCATCCGGTTGCGCCTTTGTAACACCGTTGGACTACTTTCATGGCATCGTTGCCACGCTCCTCACGGGAAACCGCACAGCACCAGTAGACCAATAGGACGGAGGATGCCTGAGGCATGGTGCTGTTCTGCGTCGGACAACATGCCGTCGTTGAGCTGTTGTCTGGTGTGTCATTAATAGGTAGCAACGGTGCTTGCCATTGTGAAAATGGTCCCGCACAGCTGTCACGAGACTAATTTGCTGTTGCTGGACGAGGAAACACCGTAGCCGCTCCGCGAGCGTCAATAAACTACAGTACATGCATACACACACAGGCGTCGGAGGTCAAGAGGATCACAATTACGGTAACGCGAACGCCGAACAACACCGACTCGACAGCGATGGAATCGCGAACCAGCACACCGCATGAAATGGCCTCCAAACACAAGCTGACGTCGGAACTTGAGCGAGTTGGCGTGACTCGAAGGACGTGCCGATAGCTTGGTCGCTTCGACCTACTACGGTAGCTGATCGCCCAGACAGTCCCAAACATTCCCGCAAGAATGAGGCTCTGGAGTAAAACAAGACAAGTTGCTAAACTGCCGACGTTTTCTATAGGAACACCGGCATGGGAGGTGTGATACCATGATTTGTTCTTGAACAGCTTAGCATATAAGGAGCTGAATCGCGGGTTTGATGTGCCTGGAATGACATGACGCCACATCCTTTCTGCGGTGATCGCCGACTGTTTCGGGATGTGCCGACTGTTTCGGGATATGTGTGTATGTCGCGGCTGCTGCTTCAGGCAAGTACAGCAACACTGAGTCAAAGATTGTGGTTGATGCGATCAAGAGCTATGCCTCCGCCAACGCCATCACCGTTGAGGTGAGTATTGTGGGGGGGTATGGACGGTGAACGCGGAGGTTAAGGTCAGTGTTTGCACCAGGCGTACCGCACACTTCCCCCTGGGTGGAGGACCGTTTGGACTCATACCGCATTCCGACAGGCGACAAAAGATTTACGGGCTGTGGTGCGTGTTGTCGCAATACTCGCAACCGCCCTTTTTCCCCTAAGAGCGCGGAAGTCATGCATCCCCCCCCCCAAGTTGTTCAAGAATAGCGCTAGCTCCAAGTGCCGTCTAAATCGTATGTCGCCATGCCTGGACCGTACCATGTTCCGTGCCATGTACCGTGCCATATACCGGAGGTTGCTGTGCCGTCCCACACCGCTGTGCGTGCTGAGTATTTCCTGTTGTCCTTGGCTTCTTGCGCGTGACTGATTCGCTCTTGGTCTTCTCGCGCCCTCCATCCCTCCCCTCCACGCCCGTCCACGGGCACCAACCAAGTCTCTATGCCAAGATGGGAGTCGCTCAGTAGGCTCGAAGAGGGCATGGCTTTCCATCGCCAACTGTTTGCCCGATCGTTCAGTCCAGGTACAGTGTGAGGCCTTGTGCTTTTGGTGGTAGTGTTGGTGGTCCTGGTAGCGTTGACGCTGCCGTTGGTAATCGCTTGTAGCTGTTTCGGTTTCGACCGCGTGTGTGTTTACTGCGGCGAATGGTGCTGGTGCTGGTGCTGGTGCTGGTGTTGTTGGTCTTGCTGTTGTTTGGTGCTGGTGCTGGTGCTGGTGTCTGTGCTCCTGTTGTCTGCCTCCAGTTACTGCTCGGGAACGTGCTTTTTCCTGTTCACGAGCAACGGAGCTACAAGACCATGCCGCGCTGGCTTCGAACACCATGATAAAACAGGCTCCACTGCTGTACATGGGCTGCTCTCTCATACGTCCGTGTATGTAGTTCCACAATTTTCGAGTCTTATCCTGCCGTGTCGTGCTGCACTTGGTTCTGCTGCGGTACGTAGTGAGGCTGCCTCGTGCCTGCTACAATGATGTCACGACTGTCATCTAATGCCGCCACTGCACGGCTGCGGTGGGCGGGTGTTGTAGTTAGCTCTTCGTGAAGAAACCTTAAAGGTGGCACGGAAGGGCATTGTTGCATGTACGAGATCAACACCATGCACGTAGGAAACGGCAACCGGGCACAATCCGAATTACACCTGTCTCCGTCTCTGCTGCTATTGTTTTGTTGATACTACCTGCCTTGCCTTGCCTTGTATCTAAAGCCCGATGGGGGGCAGGTCGTGCGGATTTCAGCTTGCCTGCGATATGTAACTCGCTGAGCATGTCGATTTGTCCACATGAAACCCCGAACGATACTCGTTGGCTCTCGTGGTGTTGGCTCCCAGGCACACTTAGACACTTAGACACTTAGACACTTAGACTAACCCAACACCACTCTTGCCTTACCATACTGGACTCATGGATTGATGGATTGATGGATTGATGGGCTCATGTATTGATGGACTCGTGGATTCATGGACCCTTCCCTCTTCGCGAGCGTAGTCCATCTACCGCCACGGGATTCGTCAGCTGCACGGCATGAAGATGGGGCCATGGACTGACGAAGAGGTGGCTCAGTTGAAGCTCTTGGTAAGAGAAATCATAGTATCACAACCTTAAAGTTCTTCGTATGTAATGTATCGTGTCATGATCTTCGTTCTAGAAAGGTGTACCCCTAGTTGGGTGGTTGGCTTGTGACCACGGAAGGCGTCCGCGCCAGTTGGACCAGTACGGACATCAGAGGGTGCTGAACGGAGACCGGAACGGTTTTTTATATCAACACACCATCCATCACCACCAACAACAACAACAACAACAACAATGCCAAGCCGTGTCGGATTCTGTCGGTATCGAGGTATTGAAGGAACACGGTGGCAGTCATTTCTTTTTTCTTGGAGGAGGAGGAGGAGGAGGTGCAACTGCTGTTGTTGTGCTGGTGGTTGCCGTTGTCGTTTTTTTCGGTGTGGTCGATGCGGTTGATGAGGCCAGTTGTTTTGTAGCGTCTTTGTTGCCGTTGCAGTACATGTAGTCCCGACGCTCGCTAATAATAGTTGTTGGTGTATCTGGTGCACCCCCCCCCCCGCTGTTGCGGTCGTCGTCGGTGGTGATGGTGATGTTTGCGAAGGTGAGCACACACGGCAACAAGTGGTCGGAGATCGGAAAGAAAGTCGGCAGGAGCGCCGACGCTTGCAGGGACAAGAGCCGAGAGCTAATTCCAACGCCACAAGAAGGCCGTAAGTATCGGACAGGGCGGACAACGTGGTACGATAACGGTGGTGGTTCCGGGACAAATAGCAACAGTTTGTGGTGCACGTACTACTTTAGCACCATTGCGCGAGCTGATGCCCGAAACAGTCGTGTACACATGTCAAGCGTGCGGGTGATACGCGAATATTTGTGTTCTGGGGATATTGGACGGACCTCAACACATCACGTCGGTATTGTACACCAATCAATACTTAGCGAAAGGCCAACGAGTGCTGCGTAGTGGTTCGTCCAAACAGGAGGGCATTGGCTGTACCATCGTGTACTCTCGGAGATAGGTGTACTACTGCCACGTGAATGCTTTCTTCGATGCCCTAATCCTTCTGGGGGTAAAATTTTTTCCTCCCGAATTATCTGCTCGACGTTGTCCTCCTTTTTTCGTGTACATGGACAGACGTCCGTAGGCTAGACCATGGAGGTACGCTTGCTATTCACACTCACCTCTTGTTTTGTTGTCTTCTGGTGTGCCCCGTGCCTCCCTGGGTGACTGGCGGTGTCTGTCATCAGCCTGGACTGAGCAAGAGGAGAAGCTTTTAAACAAGCTCATCATGGACCGGATGGAGTGCAGTGAAGGTTAGCGAGATGAACAGCCACAGCACAGCAAAATATGTTAGCGGTTGTTGTTGATTGTTCTGTCCTTTGTTGAGCATTTTTTTTTGCAAGGCCCCTGTCTAAGCTTTGAACAGGTGGCCGACATGTGTAGCTCACTCGCGTTCATTTATTATGGCGGTCTCGATCGCCAGATTGTACGTTTTCTTTTGTATTTCTGCACAAGTTGAACAGAGCAATAGAGCGACAAGGAGCATTTTGGAGAGAGAAGCACCTGTATTGTTGTTGTTGTTGTCTTCACATTGAAAACCGTTCCGATCTCTCTCTACCCAGTACCTTCGTATGTCCGTACTGATACAACACTCGACGCGGTCGATTCCCGTGGTCGCAGGCTAACTTACCCTAAAAACGTACACTCAAATAACTTGGCCCCGAGGGGTCCGCAAGTCAATAGAAATCAACGACAGATATTCTGGAGTCCTCCACTCCCTCTGCGCGCTATGCGAGGTAACAACTGAGACTAGGAGTCCCCATCACGGGCCGGAGAGGAAGAGTTATACCCCCCCCTTGGTTCAATCTTGGTACTTAACAACGCAAACATTGACATGGCCATCTGGCACAGAAAAAGATAGAAAAAATAAAACAGAGAAAAAGAGAAGAAAATAAAAGGAAACAGTAAGGAAAGAGAAAATGAAATGGGAAAGAGCGAGGACAAAAAGGGACCAGTCCGAAAATATTGAGAAATAAGAGACAAAAAAAGGCACACGGTGGAGAGACCACTAACGAGCATGCAAACACGCAAACATGGCTACCAACCAGCGATACATTGTAATGGTACGCCATCACTAGTGGGGGGTTGGTGCAATGGTGCAGCGTTGGGGGGGGGGGCAATTGGCTAAAAGAAATTCAATCCGGCACGTATCGCGCCACTCGGTCCGTCTCTTCTCGTTTGCTTTCTTCCCTCGCCGTCTCGTCCGTCTCCTGCCCCCCTCCCGCCCCATTGGTTGTTGGCTTGTGGTTTCGTTTGAGCGCCTGTTGTTGGCTGGCCTCGGCTTCCTTCTCGTGCCAGGAGGTCATGAACCTCTCAGCTCCCTGCAGCACCGCCGCATGCCAGGGTACTCCCCCCTCCACCTTCGCGGCTTCCGTCCACT